TTTAGCTTTAAAAGGTACGTTTTAGTCCGCTGTTGTCGTTCATTGTATACTGAAATAGCAGAAAGAATTCTCCCGTTAATTCTCGGTATTTAGCAATGATTTGGGTCCTAAGATAAAGATGAAAGCTTTAGCAAAAGAATCTTATAAATAGACTTTAATCCCAGCCAACACGTTCTTATGCCAATCTGATGAATTTCCAAGTCACCTGATTCTAATGACTATACATTATCTTCAAGAATATAGCTAATTTATCATGCCTAATTATCATAGTGTGTTCATTAATACAATGTATCAGTTTATCATAGGTACCGCGGTACCTGCGTCTCAAAAGCCAAATAATGTTTAATCGATCATACAGATAGTATAATATTATAATCGATCATAAAGATGGTCCGGTATTGGGGATCGTGCCAGGTTTTCAGTGCTTGGTACAGATTGAGGATTTGTGTAAGGATTTGCTCTTAGTAACAATGTCTTGGTATTTGTTGGTTTGATAATCAGCAGCTTCATTAGCGTGCTCTACAGATGATTTAGACATCTGTTTTAACTTTTAGACTTCAGTTTTAAAGCTTAGCTGACTCACTGTCTAATTCCATATAACTCAAATTTGGTATTGTCCGTGGATCAATTTTTGTTGTTGCGAAGAATTTATGAGGAGAGGAAGGGTTTATAAAAACTGAGATTTTCTTTGATCTGATGAGGATTCAAACCCGTACTACTCGCGAGGAATGCGCTATCAGCACCTACTTACTGATTAAAGTTAGTGTAAGATTTCGTTTTGACTTTGAGGAAGTCTAAGTTTTCTCTGACAAGAAAAGTTCAAGCAAAGGAAAAAAAACAGCACGAGCACCGGAAACCAAGTAAAACTGCTTTTTTTACCGCGGACTATTGTTTGAGCTGGAAATTTCCATTGCATTACAAATTTACACGACTTCATGCTTGACTTTTGAAAGCAAATCTGAAGCAGAGATTTCAAGTCAATCATACAACTTGCTAAACAACATAATTTAACGTAAATACTTTTTGGAATATATTACGTAGGTTTGCTTGTTTTTAAAGTCAGTGTTGTTTCTCCAGTGTTTTGTATCGGTGTGGCCGAGGTGTTACGAATTATGTGGTTTATTGATTGTTTCCTTACGTAAGATCTCCTTTTAGCTAAAGATTTTGATAAATTTGATTGCAGTTTCCTTTGTAAATCTTTGAGGCCCTTTTAACAAGTTTTTGGAAGATGATGATTGTTGATGATGAGATTTTTTACAGTAATAGCCGACTGCCGAGTTCCCTACTTCAATATCTACAAATACTATGAACTATCTGTACGTTGGCGGTGTATATTTTCTGGCGATGTAAAATATCCTATATATTATGACTATACCTCGTCTTAGGAATTGCGACAATTTCTTATCGGGTAAAATTAGGAAACATGACAGATAATTCCAAACATGATAAAATATCCAGCTATAGCCCAAATACCGGGACACTACAAAGCATTGCCCTATACTATGTGAGCTAGGTTAAGCCCTTGTCTTGCTTCCATTTAACGGTATGTAGACCTTTATAGGGGGAACCTGTTGATTTGTTGAAAATATCTCCAGTCAGGTAGGATATGTAGTTGGAAATCACACGGTCTAATTTCTGTAAGGCTATAAAATGTGCCTTTTACCGATTTAGCTTTTATATTATAACACGACATCCATATCGATCTTACTTAAAATGCATTAACAAAATGTGTGCCTGGCGATATAATATAATATATATAATATATATTATATATTGTGGTTCTCGTAGTGCTGATGCTGCTACGAGATAGATGTGATGATGTGAGATTATATAACATGTAAGGCATGTGAGTGAATCTGTCGCCAAATTAGTTGACTCTTTGTGAACAGGGCAAATGTTGTCAACACACACAGGGGAGGTTGTGTGGCTTACAGCAGGGTTGTTGCACGTAGTACTACTACAGGGACATGTGAACTTGCTGTGAAAAGGGGCTCCCACCCCGAGAGGGCGAGAGAGAGAGAGAGAGAGTTTGATTGTGTGTGTGTGTAGAAGCTACTGCTACTTACACTCTCCTGAAGGGTAGCTTAGTATTTAGACTTGGTTAAATCTAGTCGGGATAAATTTTGGTGTTTGGTTTGTTATGTTACGAATCACTTGAGAGATTGACCTCGGCTAGCCCGGTCTTTATTTACAATTGTCTACAATATGGTCATAATGTACGTCTTGCGTCTAGAAATTAGGCCTGTTCCCTTCTTGAACTACTATTAGATTACTAGCGGTTGTACTGGCCGAAGGAGTTGCCAGTGTGAGGTACTGTACGTATGGCGCTGACTTTGAAACTTAGTGGAGACATTTCAACTGTAATTTTAAGAACATGCTGCTAAGGTGCGCGCATAGTGGCGCGCATCTCTGATTTATCCACGCTCAAACCATGTGCAGACGATATGCGGAAATAAAGTATCAGAACACCTGTGGCACTTTCTAAATATAGAACAGAGGGGGCCACCCCAGTTATTGCTCAAGGTTGTTTAATACAGTGCTATTTGGTGGTAATGCCAGACTATCAACCCAGGATTTGACTTCGGACTGATCTTTAGCACTGTAATGACCGTCAAAATAAAGAATCTAAATCCTCGTGCCCAAATTTTCTCCAACATATGGTTGAACAAATTATAGGTCCAGATTACGCCCTCCTTAGTCAGGACCAGTCGATTACCTTTTTCTCTTGCATATAATTGCGACACTATTTCGCTCCTTAGCGATGCCGGTAATCCCTTTGTTTGGCCAATCAGAAGCCTTCACCCTGTCACGTGACAGCTCCTTGTTCAATGAGAGCTGAGGAATGCAGCTGCCATAACTCCACACACACACACACACACACAAACACACACACACACTGACACATATACAACGTTTCTCTCCCTCCGATCATTGGTAATGCCTCGTAACATGATCTCCGACCTAATTACACCCAAGAGATCCCTACTCTCCAAATACCGAGCTTTCTCGGACTCTTATTTTTACTGTATTTTGTTTTGCAGTAGTTATATAAACATTATGTAGGTTGCATTATAACCGGTTATAATCGTTCTTGTGCCTCTGTGTCATCATGGCATTGTTCTCCTGAGCGCCATTCATTCAGCTGGTCCTTATAACCAACAGTTTCGAAGAGGGTTTCAGTTCGTTAGCCGTGATTATATTTCTTTATTTGCCTTAGAATTCACTTATATTTATAAAGATCTATGCGGGGGAATATTTTCTGTTTCACTGGTTATGTCTTTATGTAATTACTCATCAGCGACAACACAACAACATAGGTCATTAGGTATGGAAATTTCACGATCACGAACCAACATGTTAGGTGCAAATTCTGAGACCTAATTTTCAGAAATTAGATTTTATGATGATCTTTTAACCGTTTGGTGAGGGGTGGTGAGGGTCTCTGTGGTCATTATGATTTGATAATTACTGAAAACATGGAGCCGTTTACCTCGTCAGTCTGCAATGAGTCGCACTATGACTACCAGCATTGTCATAACATTCTGCTCGTATAGAGTTATTTTCATATGGCATGGCATTCGCTCCAGTCACCCCATTTATTCATAGCTCCAAACCCAGTATTAACAAGTGTAGTCTTCGCTCAACTTCTATCAACAACTCGTAACATATCGGTAGGATTGGTTAAACATATCGGAGTGACACCCAACTATAACGAACCGACGAAGTCTTGCTAATATCCGTGACATAAAGTCTCGTACCGAAGAAGCTCCGATTATATTAGCAGCTCGCAGGAGAGAGAACTCCCCCCAGACGCATATCACATCTTTAATTGTGCGAATATTAGAAAGTGAGGGAGTTGAGCTCAGCACTACATTCTGTTGACACGAATGTGCCTTTAATACGGGGTGTACAGTGTACAGTGAATGTACACCCGGGGTTACAATAGATTCTTATCACGGAGCGGGGTGGTGACAGACCAAGAGCATAAGGGGGGCTTCGCCCGCCCTCGCTCTCTCTCTCTCGCTCTCTCCCTCGCTCTCTCCCTCTCAACTTTAATCCTAGACTTTTCCTCGCATGTTCTGTAACTTCTATCCCAGTTAATCCCGTTCTAGACGGCTAGACTCGATCAGGGTATTGCTGTCGGTTGTAGGGTGGTGTGTTTTTCTGACAACACTGTAAATTTGCCCTTGTCACAGATCCAGTTAGCTGTATTGGTTGTTAATCGCCGCTATATCAAGTTGCCCTTTGCACGTCAGCCAGCGGCCATTAATATCGGAATTATTATTGGCGGGCTTTTATTTTTTAATAGTGATAAACTTTGCAGGTTTTACCTTGTTTCCGCTGTACCGTTAGTCAAAATCACTTAATAAGTCTGTAAGAATTGCCACGTACCTTAACCCCACCGCCACGTACCTTAACCCCACCGCCACGTACCTTAACCCCACCGCCACGTACCTTAACCCCACCGCCACGTACCTTAACCCCACCGCCACTCAGCATCTCCCATGTCTGTACCAACAATATCTGTTCTCTTACTTTCATGGATTATCCCACAACCAAGCACGTTGCCTAGAAGTCCGGCGTTATATATTATAATGATCCTGGACATAAGTGGCGAGTAGCTCTATGTCAAAAAATGTATATATATAATATACTTTCATGAATACAGACCCACTCTCTGACCCTCAAGTTATAATAATCAGTGTATCACGGTGAGCTCGCTGCGTGTATTATTATAAGAGTCAAGCTCCACGATCTGGCACCAGTATTGGTTTAATGAGGCTCATGTAGCCAGATAGCCAGGTAGAACAATGCACTGAGTCTGCACGAAACAAAGCGTTTGTGAAAGTGTGTGAGTGTGTGTGTGTGACTCAAGAATGCGAATTGCGGGAACCTGTGTGATACCATGTTGAAAGGAAAATCTTTCGGTCACTGAACAGTAAAGATAATAAGTATTAGTTTCTAAATTGTCTTTTGTATCTTGAGCTGCTTTATTTCAGTAAGTGACGCACACTAGAACACACACAATAATGAGCTGGACTTATCCGACCATCATGCCGTCAAATTTGGGCACAGTGCCAAGTTTTGGTGGCACGTTTCCAAATCTGGGTAACTTGGCAGGACCCCTGCTCTATCCAGGGGGCGGTGTGCCGTCAATGCCGGCTGTGTCAAGTGCACCCATGCAGTGTTATTTCATTGCCGAGGACCAGGCCCCACAAAATGGTAGGCTTATGCCGCTGAACCTGAATATACAGCCTCTAATATTTGCAATCTCACCCCAAACACTTACTATCAGTTTGAAGACTGTATCTCTTTTCAGGTGGTTCCTAGGTCCCGCTCTATGCTTATTTTATATTTTTGTGTTTGACAAACTGCAAATTTTCATGTGATATCAGAGTTATTTGATCGTCTTGCAACTTTCTGATGTACACTGCATAGATATGACAAACCTTTTCACAGTCAACAACAAATGCATGATTTAAATTGCCCGGACCTAGGAACCTCCAGCTGCTGATTCGCTCTTGACACCTCTATTTATCTTTCTTACTCCATACTCGCTGCTCTTCCTTTAATTGTACGTATCACGTGGTATTGAGCGTGTCACGTGATCTAAATATTTCATCAAGTCCTTTCATCCTTAGTGCAGTCTTCACGACTAACGCAACAACTATGACAACATCTTTTCTTCCGAATTTAGACAGACAGATATCTGTTTTACGCAAAAAATGTAAAAGTGGAGGAAAAATAGGGTTACAACAGAAAATTAATCCTATTAGATGCACGGATTGGAACTAAGCATTTTTCAAGTCTGTCTCAGCAAGATCGTAATCTGTTTACCCAAGGCGGTGTTTAACCGTCAAATATCCTAGATATTTACCCCTAATTCATGAGCATCAGCTATAAGCCCTATACTTCTTCACACTCAGTCACCCTAATGCTTTTACCTTTGAAACCTTGCTGCTGTCTACTATCATGAGCCTTGACTGGGCTCTATTCCTAATTCTATTTCGTCCCCCCCCCTCTCTCTCTCTCTCTCTCTCTCTCTCTCTCTCTCTCTCTCTCTCTCTCTCTCTCTCTCTCCCCCCCTCTCTCTCTCTCTCTCTCTCTCTCTCTCTCTCTATCTATCTCTCTCTATCTCTCTATCTCTCTATCTCTCTATCTCCCTCTCTCTCTCTCTTATTCCGTGTGTATAACCGGAGGAGGAGCGACATAGAAATCTTCTCACTTGGCTAAGTTTCGTGAAACACTCAAATCTGAGTTATTTACTCTCAGCTCCTTCGTTTGAAATCTCGAGGTACTTAGTTGCGGGTATATTCCAACTGTGTCCTCCTCCACACCGAACTTGTGCACTGATTTTCATCGCGTTTTTCTCTTCACATTTTTCTCTTCAACATTGCTTTCTGCCGAACAGAATTATTTGACACACACGAAGCCCGCGTAAATTCTTGCTACTTTTGACCTGATTTCTAGCAACTAATTCTACGCAATTTGCAAGTTTACCTTATCGTAATTATTAGTCTAACGGTTTAGAAACGTTTAGAATAACATTGACTCTTATTACTTGTTAACTTTTCCGGTTTACTAATGATGTCACTTTATTCTAGGGCCGGTCATAGAGATAGTCAACAGAAAGACCAATGTCTCATTTGATGTAGACCCAGCTGAAACTAATGAGGCTAAAAAGGTTAGTAATGTTAACATATTTAACATATTTAACATATCATTATCATAAGCCATTACGTAATCTAATCTATTGGCTAACCGTTTTAATTATGTATTTTATATTCAATCGCTATAATCATAAAGTTACAAGTCTTAGCTTCATTAATTTTAAATAATCAGATAAAGTTAATGGTTCTCTAATAGGATTTCCATAATTGGATTTGCAACATTCAAACTTTGAAGATAATGAGGTAATCATAACGACAGATCAAGTTGACTTCATGTACTGAATAAATTAGATGCTTACACGTGCAGTCACTGGAGTAGCTCTAATCTAGGTGAAGCCAACATTAAACTTGTTAAGTTTCTCAGCACTCATACGACCCCACTGCAGCATTACAGCCAGCCAAGCGCTGTATATGTAGAGAATATTAAACTAACTATCATCATCATCACTGATCATTACACAAATCTACATTTTCGATGACAAGTCGGGGTTCTTCTCCCCTGATTGGACAGTACAAGTCACGTGATGAGCTCCAAGCTCTCTGATTGGTCTCTCTCCGTCACGTGCTATCTCCAGTCAACACTCCAGCTCTCAATGTTTCTCCTCACTTTTTCAGTCTCTTTGTTTTAGATCTTTCTAGTATAAACCTCCTCTTCACGGACGAGACATGAACTCTATCGAGCACTTCCCAGCCGCTCCGACTATGGAACACTTTCCCACACATCCTATGGAACACTTCCCAACCCCTCCTCCTACTTCTCTACCCCAGACTGGCAGCTACCAGCTCCGTCCTGTCGCTCCACACCAGGACCCCCGGGATACTTACCACGTGACTCCAGATCACTATCCCCAACCTAATGACACACCGTCCCAGCTGTATGACGTGTATTATGTCTACGGTCAGGGTCATGACAATGTACGTGTTATTCAATATACGTGTTATTGTGCCCGGTACGAATCTCTGCTATTTTACTCGCTAGCAGTGGCGGAAACAGCTACATTCCTGTCCACTGACTCAGTTACAGCATTCCCAAACTCGATCTTCATAGGACGGTCTATCATCAAAGCACAAAAAACTCACCAATACCAATTCATGTAATTTGACGTTTTCAATGTTTTCAGCTGAAGTTGGACATGCAAAGATCGATCCAACCCACCCAAGTGGTGCACGTACGGAATGCCCCGGAGGACATATCCGCTCTGGACCTGTGTATATTGGCCATGAAGTTCGGGACTGTCATCAATACCCTTATCATGCGACAAAAGGGACAGGTCAGTGCTGGAGCCTTTTAAATGGGAAACTGTAGCTTCTGATAGGGGAAAGCCCTTTTTAGCAAACTATTCATTTTTATTTCTGTATGAAACTGTGCCTTTCTAAATTATTACGTGATGCCCCAACCTGTCTCCCACTAAGGTGGGACTAAGCTAACGAGTTAGACTAATTTTAATGACATCTCAATCCGTTTTCCAACTGAACACCGGCCCTCATTGTTATAATCAAAGTTTTAGTACTACAAAATATTGGATAATTTCCATGCGTTGTCCTTATCCGGCATAAATATCCGAACTTTGTGTCATTTGTCTAAATGCGCTATAAATGAAACTTTAAACATGCCTATTGATAGAACATAGAGCCTGGTACCAAAGACCACTAGAACTAGAAACTACATTCCATACCTCCGTTTCCTTTATTATCAGTTCATTCTCCAATTAATAATCATCCCCGAAAAATTCTTTCCGTAACATTGTTATGACAAGGGGGTGTTAACCTAATGAGCTTGAGGCCGGGTCCTAATAATTGAAACCTTACCCCCCAACCCGGCCCCATTCACTACTTATTCCCCTAATAACTTGTCAGTGGGTGCTAAAACGGTACGCCCCCGTTTATCCCATTCGCTCCACCATTTTCTTGTCGTTAGCATTTTCTATACATTCCAGGCATTCATAGAATTTGCGGAGGAATCTCAGGCAATAGCGTTCGTGAACTACCACAACTACGTGCCGGCCATTGTCAGGAACAAGCACGTATTCATACAGTTATCAACGCACAGTCACTTGAAGACAAATGCTGAGTCCCAGAGTGCCACCCAGGCCGCCCTTAACGCACTGGCTTCTTGTGAGTACCTATCATTAATTTATTATCACACAATAGATCACAGTAACATCATCTTATGAAATTCCCTGATTTGATTCCATTTCTAAATTCCAAACTGAATTAACCACATTTACATCCCCATAAGTCTCGCTATTTTCCCACATTCCAGTTCTAACCCTCAAACAGTTCCATCTTCTCCAGATCCGGGAGCACAGACTCCGAACGCCATGCCCCCTGCAATCCCCCAGATAGTCTCCTCCTCCGCCCTCTCCACCGCTCAGATGTTACCCCTACAAGAGGGTTGTATTCTCCATCTCATCATCGAGAGAGCCATCTACAGTGTTACACTCGATACTCTATATCAGATATTCTCAAGGTTTTTACCACACATTGTAATTTTACATGGATAAGATCTGTGTACATAATCAATCCAAATTAAAGAATGCGAGTAACTTAATCAGAGTAAAATAATGATATTTAAAAGTGAATATGATCTGATGTTGATATCATATAATATAATAAGTGAATATCCGTAGGTTCGGCCCTGTCGCAAAGATCGTGACATTCAACAAGAACTCAGAGTTCCAAGGATTCGTCCAATATGTGGACCAGCTCTCAGCGATGGCTGCCCTGAACGTAAGTAACAACAATGTTGCATTTACTCTGCTTCTAGTTTCCACTAAGTTTAACACCTAACCTCTTACTGGACTTCTTTACTCGCTAGCAAATCATTGTTCTGAAAATTCAGAAGAAAAGAAGAATTTTAATCTGATTTATTTATTTTACTCCCGGCACAAGGTGACACCCAAATAGTTATGAATAAATCCCGATACATTTTTTGTTTTTATTCATAATCCTGGTAATTTTTCCGATCATGTCAACAAGTGTAAAAGCAAACTTGAAACAAAACCGTGAAGCTGAAAACACGTACTTTTTGCACGTTGACCTTGTTAAACAGGGTTTTTGACAGGTCTTAACGGAAACAATATAGTGTGTTCGTGATATCCCTGCATGGCACATGCGTACTGCGCCTTCTTTACTTTTATCTTTTTATAGCCTTGCAGATACATTTTTTGCCACTACACTGAGCCGGATGAAATGTGTTTTATAACCGGTAACAGGTCTATTCCCTAGTATCAACTCTTAATTCGATGTGTGAATAGATAAACTAATAAATTATCAATAATTGATAATTTACCTAACATGAAAATAACCGCTCACTATCCTTCCAGTCACTCAACAACCAGAACGTGTACTCAGGATGCTGTACCCTCCGACTCTCCGAAACCAAGATGAAGGACCTGGACGTGAAGAGTAACTCGGACAAGGCCCGGGACTACACCAAGGAACCTCCTCAGTTCATGAGGAGCACTCCCAGATTGGGGATGGACAACATTCCTATCTTCAGTGAGTCACCAAGTGTTTTTAATTTGAATTTGTTGGAGAGTTTGACTTATATAAAACATTTTCATTCCGCTTTATTAATCTCTAAATCTTGAAAAATGCATAACCCAGCAATGTCCTCAGGTCCAATGCAGACCCCAGGTGCAATGCAAGGACTCCAGGGACTCCAGGGACTCCAATACACACAGATGATCCAGCCTCAGCTGACCGCCTACCCATCTTTAGCCGCAGCCTCAAACCCAGTTCAGACGATCGCTACCACTCCTAGTACAATCACTACCCCCACCTTGTCGCCACTGAACTATGATAAGATGATACTGCCTAATAACTTTAAATGTAAGTATACATTGATATAGTGATTATATATATTACTAGAAAGCCCGTGGTCACAGGGAGGAAGCTAATAGTATTCTTTGGTAGTCAGTTTTTATAGCATCAACAAATATTCATCACAACCGAACATACAGCCAATTGAAATATTGCTCGCACTGAACACCACCTAATAACAAAAAAAACGATCAAAATGCCCCTCTCAAATCCTTGCACGTGCAAGTGCACTTTTAACACCGTTACCATGGTTGCTATGCAACTTCCTATTTCTCGTCTGATTTGCACGTGGGCATACCACATACAGAAAGAATTCTCTGGATTATAGTAGAGATTATTATATTATATGTTAGTGATAGATACCAATTACTAATGGTGATTTTTCAAAGTCTTTTTTCCTTCAAAAGGGAAGGTTTCTGCGTCGACAGACATCAAGTTTGATTCCTATTTCCGGCTTAAAAGTAATTATTAACAATAAATGTGTAACAAGTTAATTCCCAGTTATCACAGCAGCTCAGCTACCTCCACATCCTCAACTAGGATACTCCATCTCTTCCGTCCTCCTCGTCAGTAATCTAGCCGAATGTGTAAGTACTCAACACACATACTTACCAACCTCTCCTTCAATTACACTGACTTACTATCAGGAGGCTACTAGTGGGGACGTACTGCACGTGCACTTTAAACACGTGCACGCTGTTTAAAGTGCACGTGTGTCGCTTCCCATCAGTATCAATGTCTATTTCTCGCTACTTGTACATGTGATACTACCTTGCAGTCTTGTCATGAACCGTGATATGTGATCAATATCGAAACAAATAATCTGATCTCTCAATCGATCATCCATCGTGCTGTGATTTGCTATTTATAATCGTAACACACCGCTTTCGTGTACAGCTACTTTCTAGTTGAGCTCCAATCTTATTTACGAAATTAAGATAAATATAATATATAGTATATACTATGTATGTCCAAGGCCCTCAATTATTGTGCTGCTAGAATGCCTAAATTCTTAGCTTTTTCAGCTCAAATTGCCGAATATATTTTAAATCTTGAAATTTGGAATTGTGATCAGCAAGCGCATTTGCATTTGATAAATGCTCAATTTTGAATAATTTTGAATAATTTTGAATAATTTTAGATGCATGGCTTCTAGTGGGTTATAATATTCTGTTGAAATCCCATTCAATAGATAATGCATGAGCTTGAAAAACTTGGTTGCTGTATTTGACTTAATCATAATGAAATGCTTGCCTTGCTAGATCAAATCATTAAAACTAATTTAACGACAGAAATTGAGCACAAGAGCTAAAATGAGACTTACCTAGATGTATACTCATCGGTAAAAAACGACTGGTCGATAGTTTGATCCAAAAAATTGATCGGTTTTAAATCTCCGTAAGCGAGACTTCCGAAAACGTGATATTTAACATCTCAAACATAAAATACGCCTTAAACTGCATAGTTTATGGAGATTTAAAACTGAACAATTTTTAAAGTTCCGACGAAAGTTCCGACCAATTGCTTTCTAGCGATGAGCATGCATCCCGGTTACTGTCACCCTTACTTAAATTCTGCTGGATTAAGATCTTATATCTTTATATATCTTCTCTTCCTTTCAGATTGCCTCGCCCGACGCACTGTTTATACTATTTGGTAAGATAAGAACTTTCGTCTTTCTTCTTTCTTTCCTTTCTTGTAACATTAACGTTAGGACCAAATCTTGATTGTGTCGACAATTCTTTTAAATCGAGGTTAAATCTTGATAAAATCATCAAACCTGGCTCTTCTGTGCCAGTGTTCCCATTATACCACAATTCACCAAAAATTGAGCAGCAAATTTCAAGATTGCTAAATTTTACCACCCACAAAATTAAAAACCTCGCGGAACAGTCAGTATAATTTTGGCGTGTTTGCAGGAGTATACGGTGATGTAAGGAGAGTCAAGATTCTCTACAAGAAGCCTGATACTGCTCTGGTACAAATGCAGGATCCTATCTCTGCCCAGCAAGGTCTGTCAACTTGACCGTGTCCATTATTACGTTATTTATTTATGGTTTACCCTTCTATGCCTATTGCCTATGGGCTATGGTTCTTTGGGATTGAAATTGAAATAGTTTTATTGAGAAATAATAGTTTTCAACCAGCTAAAGTAACATTATACATCTCTCCAGCTCTTCTATCACTGAATGGAGTTGTATGCGGAGATAAGAAGATTTACGTTTCCTACTCCATCTACATGGAGGTCCAGATGCCTAAACCAACGGACGAAGCACAAGATCTCACGAAAGACTTTTCTGATTCTCCTCTCCACAGATTTAGGGTAAGGAAATTGGGAAATAGAATCCAGCAATTTTGGAATAGAAACCTGATGAATTAAGAAATTTGTTGATGAGAGATCCTTGATTAGTAAGCTGTCGATTTTAAACATGTTAGAAAATGTTTCATTTCCAGAAACCGAACCAGAAAGTTCGAGAAAACGTTTATGGACCCAGCCCTTGTCTTCACCTGTCGAATATCCCGTAAGTTCCTGACGTCTAGTTATACTAATAGTTCTATTATTAGAAACACTTGCAAATTATACATATGAATCGCTTGGAAAACTTGCCAGTCTTCCTTTTTAGAGTTCTTCTTTAGCATTCCTATTTCTCACCTCTGTTATCACCCTCAGGGCGGAAGTAACGGAAGAAGAGTTGAAGAAGATGTTTGAGAGTTGCGGAACTATTGTGAACTTCCGGTTCCTGACCTCAGAACGTCCTGACAAACAGATGGCACTCCTTGAGTTCACCAACACCAGTTCCGCTATCTGCGGTCTCGTGCAGTTCCACAACAAGGAGGTTAGTTGTAGATATTGATATGGTAGTTCATAGTTGAGAAAGTTCAGAAAGTTGAGATAGATCAATTAGTTGAGATGGCTGAGATAAAAGTTGTTAGTGATGACTGTTGGTAGTATCTAAGTAATGGCGGTTATAATTTTGAAAAGGAAACGCCTTCAATCCAATGTGGTAAAATAACTAAGTCGACTCAATTGAATTGCATTTTAAAATTATATCATTCACAACACAATGGATAGACCGTCTATTTCTAACTCATTCCTTTCTTTCAGTTCATCACAGAGGCTGGCAGACAGTACCTGAGAATATCATTTTCGAAAGCTGGCTGTATTCAGAAGTAGAAACCGGAAGTGCACGCCCACACTTCCAACATCACCATGGCAACGCCGCGCATGCGCAGCAACGATTTCGTGATGACGTCACGCTATCAAGATATGACGTCATTGATTTGAAGAAAGCTTGCTGTAACCGTAGCCGACCGCTGCGTAGCAACCGCACATTTGGGGACGATTACATTTTAGTTTTATTGACATAATATTATTGATAATTCGCGTCGAATCGTCGATCACGATGCAGTGATATAAATTATACCATAGGTAAAGCTCCACTGGTACTTTAATTTAATTATTAGTTATAGAATAGATGTTTTATCAAACTTGAGGACTGAAGAGGAATCAAAAATGTGCCAGTTGAACTTTGCCCTGCTTCGTGACGATGATGTAGCGATGTTTTACCGTCAGTTTGATTGGTTTTTTGGCCCGAGAAGCTAGAGAGATTACTCAGATAAGTTGAGCCGTGCTGGGCTGCACGTGGACTGCACGTGGACATCACGTAACATGTCTGCACGTGTGTTTTAGTGGAATAATCCGACATTTTGTTTCATGATGCTTTAATATTACTGTGAGAAACAGCGGTCCCAGGACGCCGGATTGTGTTTACGCACTGAACTTTTACCTGTACCATGAGATGCGTTACGTGCGGGCAGAAAGTCTTCATACCCCGAGAATTTATCCCATCCTGAGACCCTGCTATAGAAACAGCTATAGAAACAGAACATTTGATATGTTATATACCATGATGATGATGATGATACGTTGAATTTGTAAATTTAGGTTTATTATATATTTGTGTCCATATGATGGTTAATTTTTCCCGAAAATTTCGTTGATGTTTAATTATGCTTTGTAACACTAGGTTATCCGATAACTTATCCCATTGAAATTTTGTTCCCGTTTCCATTGTTCGGAACGCGGAAAATTCATGCTAGCTTTTATTAGAAAATCTTATCCTTCTCATTTTGTCAGCTTAAAATTACTTTCCAAAACATCACTTTGCTACTTCCATTAAACACGGTACCTAAGTATTCAACAGCAAGATTTATATTATTTCGCCGAGTTAAATTTGTTGTTTTTCCTGGAATCAGGCATTGTTTTCATGAGGTGCAATATTTTGGGCTTAATGTTTTCCGGGCTAATCGCAGCAATTTCAAGGTACATTACATCGTTTGTTTTGCATATTAAAATCTCTTGATCTGAAAAACAGACAATAAACAGACCTAGACGGTTGAGTTTTAAACTTTAGAAAACTTTTTCTCTCTTCTGAAAACGTTTTTATCCGAGGGGTTTTGTTTTTGGAACTACATGATAATATCTACTCGATAATAGAGAACTGTATTTCCTCTATCTGTGTTTTTAAAATTTGAGATGTTTTCTATCTTCTCTCTGTATCACAGTGCTTGTCTCTTGTTATATTTGACAGAATAGATGTACATTATGATTATAATATTGGGTTATTTTTAGTCAGTTTTTTGTAATTATAACCTAGTTTGATGCTCAAATTACCAAGAAATATTAGCTAGTGATCGTGTACATTGTTGTTGAAAGAGGAGCTATCATCAACTGAAATTTCTTTTCTTCACCAAACATACCGTCGTTGCTTGCAGCCAAAATTTCAGGGTAGATTTTGAGAGTCTTTCGCTTGTCATGTTTTTTCAGATCTATGATGCCAAAGACACTTGATAAAATTAAAAGGTAACGTATTGAATTTATCCGAGTTAAATTTAAATCCTCCAGCAAATTTTAAGTATTATATACATTAATTAGATTATATAAGTTAACTCTACGGATCAGTGTTGGGGGAATTGTTAATGTTTAAAAGTTTTGATAAACTTGAGATGTTGATGATATTTTGAGGCTACATTTTATAATATATATTCACCGAATATTTGTTGTAAAACTAAATTTTGTTGAATTTCCACGAAATAGAAGAAAAAAATTGTTTCATTTTCTTTATCTGTCATCTTGACTGTACCACTATAAAATTGAGAGCATTATTACACAAAGTTTATTGTTACAAATTTACCAAAATGGGAGGTTAAGGTGGATCTGATGAGCACAACTACCTAGAAAAGAGCCCCGCTAGATACGAGTCCCACTAGATTAGAGTCCGACTAAATAAGAATCCCGTTCTATAGGTATATAAGACTTATAGTTTTCAAAGGGTGCGGTGAAAATAATTTCGTAGGCCCTTAAACATGAAACGACTCCTCCAGATCTGCAGTCTTACTCTTAACCTTAAATTGGACATATACTAACTAGCTGAAGTAGCTCTGATACGTCGGATTAGAACCTGTAAGACTGGCCTCCAGCTCGCTATTTTTGAGATTGAAGCAAATCGAGGATGTTCAAAGGGTGCAGGTTGTTCAACTCGACAAAATACCGGTGGAAAATATTTCGTAGGCCTTAAAATGACTCCTCCAGATGCAGTCTTAACCTTAAATTGGACATAACTCAAATTCAATAGCTGAAGTTCTGATACGTCCGATTAAAACCTGTAACTGTAAGACTGGCCTCCAACCATGGCCATTTTTGAGATTCAAGCAAATCGAGGATGTTCAAAGGGTACAGGTTGTTCAATTCGACAAAATATCGGTGGAAAATATTTCGTAGGCCCTAATATAAACATAAAATGACTCCTCCAGATTCAGTCTTAACCTTCAACTTGCATTAGGAATAACTTTGCTCTAACCAGAGCCCTTTCGCTTGCAGTAGTGCTGCAGCGCGACCGGGACCGCAGTACGTGTATACACATAGCTATGCCTATGTGAATGAATAACTTACTATAGTATAGTGAACTTGAAGCTACCTGGCACGCCAATCCCTTGCTTTGCATTGCGCGGCGCTCTTTTGAAGCTTCTGAGTGCAGAGAGGAGCGAGCAATAAACTAGCAAGTTGAAGTAGCAAGCTAGGTACTGGTAATACCTTATCGGACCTGATTTGGACGGACATTACTTGAACGCTGGAGGCCCTAGCGTTCATCTTAATGTCCGTTCAAATAAAGTCCGTTCAATTAATGTCCGTCCAAGTTAAAGTCCGTTGAAATTTTTTTAAAAATTTTTCCATTTCGAACTTTTTGTCCAGAATATGACAACTTTGAGAACTTTATTGTGCCGTAAGTTAACGACGGAAAGGTTCTCCTTGGTCTGCCGGAGGCACAGAAAACTACTAGTATAACTATATGATGTTTTCAAGGGTCACTTGGCGGAAAAAAGTCAACGAAATTATGGCACTCAACAACAAAGTTCATGAACTAGTCCCCGCCAACATGACAAACTTGCTCCAGCCTCTAGATATCACGGTAAATCGTGTTGCCAAGGACGGGGGGGGGGCCAATGGCATAAAATGGCATAAAATGGCATAAAATGGAGACTTTTTCTATGGAGAAAATGGAAAAACCCATGAGTAATTCTCCATTTTCTCCATTTTATGCCATGAATTTTGTCTTCGAAATTTCATCTTTAACACCATTTAACACCTAAATTGGACATCCTAACATGTTTATTTACGCTTACTAGGGGCGTAACAAGCTTATGAAAGCTCATAGTAGGCTACTAGATGCTTATACTAGGTTAGTAGAGGCACACTTCAGGCAAACTCATAATTACTCAAGCCTAGTGTAAAGTTATTTCTACAGGCTACAGTAGGAGTGAGTAATAGGGGAGAGTAATAGGCACTGAGAAGTGAGACCTACATCCTCGAAAGTCGAAACAAGCTCGCACTGCAAAGGGGAGGCCTGCCTTCCGAGATCGCATTACCAGGGGGAAGCCTCGAGTCCAAATTTGTGTATCGAGGGGTAGGTGTAGACTTCGATAAACCGAAAAACCAAAAAAATATTTTCGGCTAATAATGAAGAGGGTAGCATGAAACGTGGAGAAAAGTGATTTTTAGAAAAACTTTGAAAAATTTTGACTTAGAGAATTTTCGGCCCGAGTCATTCTCGATACGTACCTCTCGTATCGAGAGCTCCCGATTCCGAGCTCGTGTTGCAAAGGGGAGGCCTGCCTTCCGAGATCGCATTACCAGGGGGAAGCCTCGAGTCCAAAATTGTGTACCGAGGGGTAATTTTCTAAGTCAAAATTGTTCAAAGATTTTCTGAAAAACACTTTTCTCCACGTTTTATGCTACCTTCTTCATTATTTGCCGAAAATATTTTTTCGGTTTTTCGAAGTCCACACCTTCCCCTCGATACACAATTTTGGACTCGAGGTAATGCGATCTTGGAAGGCAGGCCTCCCCTTTGCAACACGAGCTCGGAATCGGGAGCTCTCGATACGGGAGGTACGTATCGAAAATGACTCGGACCGAACATTTTCTAAGTCAACATTTTTCAAAGTTTTTCTTAAAACCACTTTTCTCCATGTTTCATGATACCCTGTTCATTATTGGCCGAAAATATCTTTTTTTTTAAATAATTTTTCTCGAAATTCTAAATTTTACAGGTTTCAATGGCATAAAATGGCATAAAATGGCATAAAATGGAGACTATTTCTATGGAGAAAATGGAAAAACCCATGAGTATTTCTCCATTTTCTCCATTTATGCCATTGGCCCCCCCCCCCCCAAGGACATTGTCCGACGGTGTTATAGTCCATATTACTCGGGGGCGGTAATGAAACAATGCTAGGAAAGCTCCACGTGATGTTAAGGTTAACCTTAGTCCTTAAGTTGTCTAAGATAAAACCACTTCACGCCGAATGGCTTGTAAAAGTTAACAGTAACACTGAAATGCAGGACCGGGGTTACTGGGCCGCGCTCAGCCTGTCATTCCGCCAAATCTTAATGAACATAATAGCCTGGGGTCCTCAGGTAAGACCGGGGTAGTTTGATTTTTTAAAAAGGTTTCCATAAAGCTAGAAATCACTGATGTTTTAAGCATGGACTATTTCATGCACGAAAACCCATTTGAATCTTGATGAAGATGATATGTGATATTAGACACTGATCATGTACAAATATTTTAACATTTTTACTGCTTAATGACTGCTTTTCTTACTTACTGTAAGTGTATAAAAAATGGATTTAAAAATCATTTGCTGAAATTTAAAAAACGTTGAAAAAAATATTGAACAAAATTCGGATTTTTGATGGTTTTGAATGCCTTCGAGCGTTCATATTAATGTCCGTTCATAATTGTGTCCGTTCATGTAATGTCCGTCCAAATAAGGTCCGATAAGGTAGCTGAAGTAGTTATGATACGTCAGATTAGAACCTGTAAGAGTAAGACCATTTTTGAGGTTCAAGCAAGTTGAGGATGTTCAAAGGTTGCAAATTTTCAACTCGACAAAATATTTTTCTAAAAGGGCCCCCAGCATGCAGTTCATGAATTTATGTAATTTTGACCTGCATGATACTGAATTAATCACATCACATGAAATAAAGTTAAAACAATCCCCTGGCGAGTCGCCAGTGGCGACTTATCGGCGAAAAATTGTTTCGATCGAAGTGACATATAAATATTGGCGCATTGCATATTGATATAATTATATTGAGTTTGACCATATAAGGAAGCTGGTCTAATTTCTCGTTAGGGCCGGGTTAGGGTTTTACTTTTAGCATATATGCTTCAGTTGGGGATTGGGCTGGGTTAGGATTAGGGTAAAACTTAAGGGTCAGAGTAGAGGGTTCCGGTTAGGGTTTTGGATTAACGGCTGATACTCGTAAAATATTTGTTTCAAATACAAGACCGTTTCAAATATGAAATACAAGACCGTCGACGATCGTCCAATTCGCGGCGCGCGTCTTTGGTCTTCCTAGGTTATAAACCTACAATGTTTTTGATAGCTCATGACATCCCTCTTATTCCCTCTACCCGACTGACGACTCTAAACTCTTAAGGCCAAGAAAATACCAAGAAAAACAGCTATATTATTATATAAGTTTGAAGTTAACTGTGTAATAAATCTGATCAAAATAAAGAGACAACCCAACCATGTTATTACTGTGTCATCAATAAATCTGATCAAAATAAAGCCAGACAACCCAAATCCGACTATGTTTTATAGTGCATTCATTTTTAACTTGTAAATGAAATGATGCAGATGTCAGGATCATCATTCGTAACTTTTTAATGTCAGTCAGGAGTATATTTCAAGACACGACATCATCAGCAATAAAAATACGATCAACATTTTCTAGAGATATACAGTTTTCATAGATCGACCTCGAAAGAACTGAATATTGTATCAGCTCATTTGCATGCCATGACAGCTATGATATTGATACTTAAAATCACACAATGTTTATAGAAAATGAATTGTAAATTGTCAGATTTATTTTAGAATCAAATTGAAAATGAAATAGGCGCTCTACAAGATTATCTGATATCTAAAAATATATTTGCCGAAAGACGGCGACGACCTGGTCACGTAAAATTCAATAAATTAATAAACTTTCCAGAATTTCATTTAAACGACACTGCCATGCCTGTGTGTTGTATGTACACAAAAATATTTATTGTTAACCCTGAAAGAAGTGAGACTATTGTGCCGAAACCCGAAAATATAAAGAGAATATTATTTTACATGATAGAGAGAAGGAAAATGCCTACAAAAGGAAAATGCCTATAATAGTAAATAACCTCGACATAAATAGCCAGAGTGATGGTAAACAAGTGCTTATTGCTACAGTGACGTCAAATTCAAAATTAGCTAATAATCGAACATTGCTTTACTGTAATACAGAGCAACAAAAACGGTAAGTGACTAATCCCTCTTAACTCTAAAGTCACTGTTGTTGACAGAACAAGAACATTCATATAAACCTCTTCAATCAGTCTTGGTGCTACATTAGTGTAAGTTAGAACCCTCGACTTTTAGCAATGACCCAGTCACAGTATCAATATTTAATATCATAGCAGTATACATTAAATTGTCATCTTAAAAATCCGTAAATTGATCTGATGCAGACGAAGCTTGTGCTACACAAAAAATATAAAATTGACCATGTTAAAATGTCATCACGATAACATGATCACACGTGGAGTGGACACACCTGCAAAACGGTTTTACTCTGGTATAAAAACTGATTATACATTCTTTATAACGTCATAAAAAGCATGAACAACACGCCTCATCTAACGAAGTAATCAAGCCATGCATAATTAGAACTTTTAGAACCTAACAAGTTCTCTTCTTACTCGCTGCGTTTATTTTACTCACGCACGAGCTGGAAACAGATCTCTGTAGATGAAATTCTATTTTCTACCGTCCAATAGGGGTCCCTAAACTTGATCCTCAGACGTTGTTGCTTCCGGTGCGGCTGGCTCTACGACGACAGCAGGTTCCGCAACTACTGGTTCCGCAGCTGCGGGTGTCTCCGCGGGTGCAGGTTCAGCGACCGCAAGTTCTGGAGCAGATGCCTCTACGGTGATGGCTGTGTCCGCCGGAGCGGGGGGAGGGGGTAGATCCTCTTTCTCTGGTTCAGCGCTGTGGGACATTCGTTTTACCACGTGATTGAGGGCGGGTGTATGCAGCGGGGGGTCATGTGATTACTTGTCTTTATGTCATCATACCTCAGATTATCATAAACCATTCAACTCAAAATCAATCAATCAAATATTGAAATCAACGTAGCTTATAGAGTCTCATTTATTTGCAGCTCTTTGATTGGATATATCAATTGATCATCTCGCATGCCTCATTCTTGTTCATACAAATGTCCAGAATTAGGACTCGCTGAAATTGCGAAAATCAGCATTCAACTCGAGTGAATCATGTTTTGTTAATAATTGGTAATCAGTTTTAATCAATCAGAAAAGAGTTGCAATTTGGTTTGTAATCTGAAAAATGTAAAGATTGGTAATTGTTAGATCGATCATAAGCAGCAACAATTGAATTAAAAACATCAGTTACTTCGGAAAATAACCTTTAAAACGAGGAATTTAATACCGTAATATTTTGCGACATTTTAGATGTCCAATTATCGAATAATACGTAATGCCGTTTTAAAGAAATACCCTCATCTCTTGACATGGAGTGAGGCCTGCTCGAAAACAGAAAAGGTACTGATTAAAACTTGAAGCACATTCTAGATTAAATTATAAATTCGAATCGACGCTTGTTTGAACATTTTTAATCGATCTATTGGAAACTTTTCGAGTTATATGGCCAAATGGTGCCAAGAGTCAGATGTAATTTTCAAAATTTTAACATTCTAAAAGTATCTGAGAAAATTTGATGAATTTTAATTGCCCATTGTATGTGTTAATCAAACTGGCCGGAGAAATAGTAGGCAAATTATTCTATTGAAGTAACTGATGTTCGTGAGTACTGAGAGTCAACAGAAGTACAGAATAGCGGACAGCATTTTGAGCTATTTTGAGAAGGATAAGTCTAATAGGGCGCCTGTGACGTGATCACGTGACCCTTTTCTTGAACAGCGGCTAAACAGATATCTTGAAATTATTCTGTTGAACTAATCTAACATAATACAAAAATATCAATCTATAATAGATGTTATATTGAATACTGGATAATGGTTTCAATTTGATGGTATCCAGCGCTAAACCTGATCAATAAATTACATTTTATTTACAGCATCGAAGCTTTTTATTAAACATCGAAGCTTTTTAGTAAACGTAAAAAAATTACAAATTATAAATATCGGCATGCAGTTTATCTAAGATTTCATTCGCACATTCATCTGCAAAAAGGGAAAAAGCACCGCCAAAAAGCGACTTCATAGCGATTAGCACATCATAGCATTCTACTGGCACTGCCAAAGCAACACTCATGTCATATTAACCTTTCCGCATTAGGGTTCTTTATAACGTCTATATCATCGTATAAGTTCTTTGGATCCTCAGCACCTTCATCAATCTTTCCAGACATTTCTAGATCTTTTTCCTGAGCTTGGGGGCTGTATGTACCCTCAGTTTTACCTGGGATATAGAACATTTGATTATTATTATTTCATTAACTTATCATTTGTTTATTAACAAATACTAGTGAGGTCTAAACCTCAAACATTGATAGATAAAACCGACATCAGAAACTAGTTCAGCTCACAAGCGGTTCACGTTGTTTCATATCTTCATGATAACAAGAGACTTGATGAAAAGCAAAAGTAGATACGATCATTACCGTTGGTGGTGCCGTTGCCAGCTCCGCTTCGTCTCTTCTTTACGATGATAATGGTAGCCACCACTCCCAGTACCACAGCCACCACCACCACCACTACTATTATAGTTGTAGTGTCGTTGTTATCCTTCACTGGTTCTGGTGGAGTTACTGAAATGGGAGAAATCGTTTATTATATCATTTTATAAAGGGTCATTGTTTGTAGGTAGCTTAGAAGCTAATTAGAGTTGGGTTGTAATAATTTTATAATACATACAATTTGAAATCCTCAGAACCTTGGCAAACAATAGCTGAATCGCTCAAGGAAGTTAGCTTAGTAGGAGGACCAGATAAACCAAATAATGGACATTTCCAATAAATGGACACATTACACAAGCATTTGATTAACTTTCGCAAGATGCAAGAGTTCGGTTTAGATTCTCATACGAGATTATAAGTACGAACAATTAAATATTCTGGATACACTCTTAAGTGCTACTTAAATTGAGTTAAATAATAATAACGCACATTTTCTTAATCCGAGAATATGATAATAATAGACTCGACTGACTCTACCGCATACTGCAGGACAGTTGGAAAACTGAGTTGGAACTAAAAGACCGTCATGGAAAAGCTTTCAGCGCATGCACATCTATATACTAGAAGTTTGTCGCATACTTACCTTTAATATTGTTCTATAGAGCAGATGTCAGATCAGGGGTTGGTATTATGAAGAGAGGATTCTGTAAAACTTGAGGAACTGGGCTGAAGTAACTGGCTACACTCGCTAGCTGGGTACATATGATGTGCTCTGATTATGGAGCGGTGAAACTTGCAGTCTCCATGTGCAGTATTGTAGGACTCGATATGGTCCCAAGTTTACTAGTTACAACATCTGTCTATGTTTGGGAAATACGATGGATGCAGTGATAGAAGTGAGACAGGCTCTGAAACCATGCAGATAAGTATAATGTTCCACTACGGAGACATGACCCACAAACTAGGCAAATATGCAAAGCAGCTATGCAAATATGAAAAAGAGAGTCAGCAAGAGTGTACGAATGGCCGTCTAAATTCAAATAAAGTCTACGTCATCACCAATAAGGCACTCTATTACTCTGAAGAAATGAAAGTAGGACAAGGTAAAAAACCAGCAATATTAGTTGTGATCTATTGTATAATGAAGTATTTCAGCGAAGGAAACAAGACAAAAACCCGCCAAACGTTTCTTTCAGAAATTTCATTCACCAAAAGAACTGTATGCAGAAGTAAAACATGCATGAAAGATATTAATTCTCAGAACTTGAACTAAAAGAAGAAAAGAGATCGTGCATTTCTTACCGACCAACTGGTACTCCTGGTATTTGAACAATAAAACGTATCTTTTCGTGATTCTGCTGCTCTCAAAATGAGCTGTTTTTAAAGCTACAAAGTTTATAGATGCAATTATCATACTCTGTAATTTCAAGTATTAAATCTATATGATTTATGAACAATGCCACCTGAGTAACTACAGGGCGTTTCAAAAGTCTTGCAAGGATGTACTTTTTGAATAACTTTTTATACATTTGTCTAAACTTCATTCTGTAAAAAGTTACCGGTAGTTCTAAAGTTTAATGGTGACTTCTGAATTCATGAAATGGATAAATCGTTACTATAAAGTACATCCTTGTATTGCAAGACTTTTGAAAGTCATTCAGCAATATCTCTTAGGGACACAAATCTATCAAAATGTGAGGCTATTTGACGTTATTTGAGGTTATTCGAGGTTATTTGAGGTTATTTGAGGTATGGCAGACCCCAGTTCCTCCAGTTGATCAGAATACCCGTCCCTTCACAACATCACAACCTGAACTAACCACGTTATACAACAAGGAGACCCAGAATTCATGTTCATACGTTTGTGCACCAGATAGCTTGTAGAACTACGGACGATGTCGTGCAAATTTCACTATCAGCTATCTGGTCTAATCTTTGATGTACATTGTACATATTAAAGTATTAAGTAGTGAATTCAGGGCCACCTTGTAATCTGTATTTTACCGAATATGAGTTTCATTCCGAGACTTTTAAGCTCACTTATCATTATCGATTAATAGCACTATTAAGTGCTGAAATTGAAAATAAATGTCTGTATTATCGACGTAAAAAAAATCTAGAATTCATACCTATTTCCACGTCACAATTGTCGCCCTGCCAACCTTCATTACAGCTACAATAGTAGTACCATCTGTCTCCTTCTCCACAAGCCAGTTCCTCTTTCGTCTCTTTTGCTGCTTCACAGTCTGTTATTGAATCCAATTCTGTGCACGTGCCGTTTTCGGTGCACGTGTGGCCGGATGTGCAAAACGCTTGTCGGGTACAAGTTTCGCCGACGGTGTATGGCACGTTGGTACAAGCACACGTAGCTGAAATCAACGAGATGTGTTGGCATTTAGATCAGGGTGAGTAGCAAAATGATAAATAGTAAAGTCTGATAAAGGTTCCGGCCATAAGTAAAATCTAGACACTAACACCAGAGGCGTTAAAGAAAGTTAAACACAAACATCTCAGTTAAAATACGTAAGCATTGTTAAAACCAAATTAAAACTTAATAAAGTACTTAATTCTGTTATTAATTTGTTCTTTTACCTGAGTAGTCAGCCGGCTCAATACTACACTCTCCATTATTCAGACACGGATTACTATTTCCCTCACAGGGATCTTCAGGGTTCAAGCTACTAATACACTGCGTTGTGTCAGCGTTGTTGTTCACATTGCCGTCAGTTATTTGCATGATATCCATACCGTTAACCGTTATCTTACTGATGCAGCCCTTGTATCTTGAGTCTTGGAGTGTTACTGAACCATCCACTGAGTCAATACCTCCCAGTGATGCCTGAAGAAATTTAAATCATAGTCTAGCTTTAGAACTTTTTTCTTGTGGCTTTATCTCGGTATTCATCAGTACCATTATAAATTTTCTAATATCTGGTCAATAGAACGTTACACTGTACAATTACATACAGGCTGAATTTCCAATAAAAAACTAAGTCTAAAGGGAGATTACAAAATACATATCGCGTGTAAAGTAAACCTGCACGCACAATTAGGAATAAAATATTTTCACATACCGTAACTTCAGCAGACAAGTCTGTTTTTGTCAGAGCGCAAGACATAACAACATCTCCACCAATCTTCACATCGGCGCCATCAAGAGTCATAGTTATTGTGCTCCCTTCAATTATTACCTCAGTATCCCCCACTTTGTAAGAAGTTCCTGCACAATTTAAGTCTTTAAGTGGATTGATTGTACGACTGTTTGGAGTAAGTATGCAACGGAAATACAACATAGGAAACCGATCAGAAAAACCCGGGTCGTTTGGTTAAATGTGCTACTGAACTAAAAATGTTACTTATAGCTGAGTTTAATGTGTCACTGATAGCTGAATTAAATGTATAATGTACTGAAACTGAACTGAATATGTCAGTGATGAAGAATAAAAGGTACAAATTTTACCTCCAGCTGCTTTGAGAACTATGTTACAGTCACCAACTTTTATGTTAGCCATCTCACCAATCTCTTCGGTAGATTTATCAAAATCTGAAAGTTAACAAATTTTAGCAAATCTTAGCACGAACATAACCTGACTGTTACAGAAAATTTCATTAATTAATCGATCAATTCCTTTGGAGAAGAATTTCAGCGAACTTTGTCGTGAATTATAGAAATCATATTTACTAAAGTTAGTAATAGATTCATCTATTATTTGCATCAAATGATTAAATCTAGCGTTGAAATATGAATGAATAACGACCAGTATCCAATTAAAGAAACATGCTTCTGGATAAGTTTATTAGTTTCAGCTATCTTACCGATTGACAAAGTTTGATCTCCTTCAATTATCGGCACAGTGGTGGCACCAAAAATAAAGTCACTGGTGTATCCGTTAAACGAAACACCACCATTGAAGGTACCGCAGTCAAACCCTGTGAATCCTGAGATAATCGGTACTCGTTATGATTAGTGATTAGGGTGGTTTTTCAGCACAATTTAACACATCTTTAATGTTTTGGCATTCCTATTTCCCAACAACTGTCTACATTCGGAATGTAACACTTAGACAGCAGTTCCGTTAATTACTTATTTCGACAAAAATTATAGAAATTCACTCCTGACTGATCAAGATGAGTCAATACTTAATGAACGAAACTAAGCCATACCCGCGGGACATGAACATGTTATTTGACCAGAGGCAGAGTCACAAGTTCCGCTATTTCCACATGTGAAAGTATCACAATCAAACACTGATGCTACTGCTTTGTCTGAAATATGTAAAGTTTTGGTCAGTGGTTTCGTAGTATTTTATTTGAAAAAGAGTACCAGTTTAAGGGATAAATATATCAATGATGGGATAAATCTAACAATAGTATAGCGTAACTTACTGGCACTAATACTTGAGATATCTTCGAAAGTCTTCTTATCTCCGTCAATCGATATAACTCCGAAGTATCCTACAAATGAGTGGTAGAAAATTCTAGATGTTCCAAATGAGCAGCTGGCATCATTCCAAGCACATCCAGTCCCACCCATCGCCAATAATTTTATGAAACTCACAGTAAGGTCAGTGGAAACACTCATATCAGCTACGTCTAACTGCAGTTTATTACCACTATTAACATGAATCTTGGCTGTTACAGAGGTACCGTCTAAAGTTAATCCCTCTATTTTTACAGATTCTTTATCGATTACATTAAGCGTAAGAGTGCTTTCATCAGACTTGAGCAGAAGGACTTTATGTTCTTTTCCATCCATTTCTACCACCTGTAATAAAGTGTCATCATGCCTTGTGCAGCTCCATTAGATCAGACAGCCCCAGTTATGAGTTTAATATCATTCGTGAGCATTAAAATAATATCATCCACATTCCACAAGAACACGGCTTTTAACAGTACTTATGAAATGATCTGTGTCCTAAAACGGGCACACAAATCACAAATGGCCCTACTAAACGATGGCTAACTTCTATAGCTATAGCATGGAAAACATGTGTTCGATTCCATGCCCGCGCGCTAATGCGCGGACTTCTTTACGAGCTCTACTTTGTTGTTTTCATATGTGAAACAGTTAGCGCGTTACGTATAAATTCAAGCTGAACGATTAAACCAGAAGGACTTTCTACAAAACTGTACCAAATAAAATGGTCGAAAATCAAGTGTTTCAAGTAAAAATAACATAGAAATAGAAATTTCTTGAAACCTTTCAGATAGTAAGATAATTATGATATAATAATACCTTCGCTTCTTTGGGCTACGCGTGATAATTCCCGACAGCTTGCTGGAGGGAATTTGCGGCCCGAAGAACCGAAGGTATTATTTGTTATAACTGTTGACGGAATTCCGCTCGGAACATGTGTAATGTGATACGTGCGCATGATACAATATAGTGTCTAATATATAGTGCGCCACTGTTATTTGTTATGAAACTTCCCGCCAGCCAGTCTGAGGTAACTCGCTTCTGTGCTGATAATACGGTTGCTTCTCTTGCGGGAAAAATATGCTAAGTATCAGCTCTCAGTGTCCACGAGTTTTAGTGCATATAATTCCCGGAAATACAGGGTGGGCCAAAAGTCAGTACCCATACGTTGGCCTTTATAGCTCAGTCTCTGAGTGCCCAATTTAAATACTTCTTTCTGGTATCAGGTATGACTTAGTACCACCACTGGTTCGAGGAATTTGTCAACTCGAAAAATATTCGCGTTCATTTTTTTCAAATGGAGGTTCATTTTCACATTTATTTGATCGTTTGGATAGTCGGATCAAGCTAAATGTTATTGAATTGTGTTTGGCCATTCGAATTACGTTTGTCCTGAAAGAATTAGAACTGTAGCTTCTCAGATGACCGAGATATGAAGCGTAACGAGTTTATTCATTACGTGTGATCAGGTGATTGGTTTACCTAATCACGTGATAAGGTGCCCCCGTTAACTACCCCGTTAAACATTATGGGAATTGTTAAGGGTGCCCAATTAAGGTGTCGTGTCACGGTGTCACATAATCACCCAGTCAATATTGTTAACGAGATACAGAAAATGCTTGATAACTTCGTCATTTCTAATCCGTTTTGCCTCATGTTTTCAGATCATATGCAACATTTGATAATCTACCGTCTCTGAAAAAATTAGGCGTTCAGCATGTTCAGAGAAAACAATATAGGTGTTTTAATATTGAATGGGCGTGTTCTAAAATATTCGAATTTTCAAATTTCGACGACGGAATCCTCGAACCAGTAAGTACAGTATGCCATCTGCAAAGCAACAGCTCTCAAATATAAAACACGGCGGAGCTATTAAGGCCAACGTATGGGTACTGACTTTTAGCCCACCCTGTAGTTATAATAGAAATAATCTGTGCGAGTTTGGGCGAAATTCTATGTGCCAAACTTGAGATATTTTTTTAAACACAAGAAAATATAACCACCAATTTGGAGATATGTTTTGTGTTTGAAGTGATATCTCAAGTTTGGCACATGGAAATTCGCCCAAACTCGCACAGATTGTTCCTATTGTAGTTATTTTACTATCTGGAAAGTTTAAAGAAAATTGATCAACACAATCCCAAGATAAATGCCTTGGTACCAAATATTGTAACTTGGTACAGTTTGGTACAGAAAGTCCAACTCGATTAAATTCTATCGGTCAGATCTCGAAATATCAGCCTTGGTACCAATTATTGTACCGATTTGAAGATTTTTTCTTGTGTTGAAGTGATGTCTCAATTTTGGCACATATGAATTCGCCCAAACTTGCACAGATTATACGTCTTATTACTATATATAGTCTTATTACTATATAGAGTATATAACTTAAACTTCCCAGATAGTTATATATATATATATAACTATCTGGAAAGTTTAAGAAAATTCTATCTCGAGATAATCGACTTTCGTCAAATATTGTACCATGGTATAGTTTGGTACAGGAAGTCCAACTCCGATTAAAAGACATCCGTGACAAATGTAAAGGCTAGATGTGTCCTGATAAGCGTCAGTCAATATTCTCGAACAATTACTACAAAATTTCCTTATACTTGCAAAACTTTGGGTAAAAAATTGGGATCTTAGCTCTTGAACGAAGTCAACGTTTAAGGAGATAACATCTAAATTCCAGTATTAATAACAGTAAATTCTGCTTCTTTCTGAAATTATACATTTTTGGCCATTCCATTCGTTCAATGAGCCAGGGGTGACATCTCTTCTCTTCTAGAAGGCTCGAATTATCTCCTCAGAGTGATGTCCTCTGTTTTTAAGCAATAGGCATAGTTAACCTAGCATACAAGAGCCAAAAGAGACATCGTCTAATTAAAAAAATCACTGCTCTCTAAGGTAAAGCAGTCGTTTAGCTATAAATAGATCCTTATTAGGCAACTGTAAGTATTTGTAGGCAGAAAGGTGTGATCATGCAATGGAGTGATCGTGTAATCAAGTTTTATGTGTTTTAAAGCAGGTATCAAATTCGCGGTGACCTAACAAATTATTGAAAAAAATCTAACTTATCAATGCCATTCATTGAAACGGAAATGTTGCATTGCTACACACCACTGAATAAATAATTGACGAACCGTTAATAAAGCAATATACATCGCCCCAACTCCGCTAGCAGTAACAACGCCAAACTCTACTGAATTTACATTCGTATCTATTATTTCGATACCTTTCTCTCCAACTCTGAAAATATAAGGTTTGGAAACTTTGGAATCACTGTGCTTAAAAACAGTTATATTTTGGAATCACTGTGGAAGTATCAATATACTGTAACTTACACTATAATCTAACTTATATAAGTATAACTATAACTATAACTTAACTTATATTATATGTGTATAATAATATGTATCTTATCACAATCAATAAATAAATACCATGTTGAGGTGGTTAAGGTGTTAAGTAATATATTATGAATATATCGAACATAATATATTCAAATATAACTGCAACTATCAATTGATATTGAAATGATGACAAGCAATCGTGGTTGGGCCTTATATTGGTAACCACGACATGGCCAGCTATATACCAGGAGTACGGGGCCAGGGCAAGGTTGATTACCTTACAAGACATATTTATAACGTACGAAATGTGGCGGTTTTCCGAAAATTTCGCCATATTTTCGGACCGCCAAAATTTCGGTCGTCGTAATAGAATCCGTCGCATTATCTTTTAGCTTATTTCAATGACTGTGCCTTCACTGCTTTATTTTGTTTCTAAAAAGTAATATCAAGTAAAATAAATAAATAAATTCTGGCATCTTGGGACAAATTATCACCACACCAATGACGAATTGAATGTCAAGCAATACAGTTTAAATTTGCATTAAAATACATGTACAAGGATACAAGGATACATGTATGTGCTAACATGAAAGTCTTACAGTCTTAATACAGACTAAGTTTGAACATGATTTTACCGAATTTCAGAAATTTCCTTACTGCTTACTGTCACAAAAAATGATGAAAAATACCCTTATTTTCTGTGACGTCCGAAATTTGACGGTTTTTGTTCAATTTCGCCATATTTTCGGACCGCCAAAATTTCGGTCGTCGCAAATTAGGCCGCCATAAATATGTCTTGTAAGGTAAACAAAACCAGTACTTGACAGTCACCTTCATAATACCGCTCAAGCTGGCATGCCAACGACCCGTTATTATTTTTGTCACTGAAAAGTCATTATGCCTAATACGGAGTGAGTGTATGTGCCGATTTGACACATGATGACTTAGCACTGAGTTTGGGTACATCGTGCACTTTATTTGTAGTTCAAACCACAGGTGCAATAGTGCTTGCTACAGGTATTCTGTATATTATAGTACACTAGCAGGAACCCGTATAACCCTAAAATGGTGTCAAAACTCAAGAGACTAAAATAATTATTACCTATTTAATTCGCGTTTTTGACAGCACTTGGGGGTCCAAATTTTGGGGTCTAAAACTCCTATTTCTTGGCCAATTTTTTATTTTTTCATGCTGATTTGGAGGCCATTAAAACATTTGACCCAGTCAAAAACGTTTCAATTGTATATCTTTTACGGTTTTTGCGGAAAGTCGCGTTAAAGTTGATGCCGTGGTGTCAGTAAAATGGTACGGATCCATCCATATATATCGTCTCGCTTTATATATAGTAAGATGTGAATGTTATGTGAGAACCGCCTAGGTTTTATACGTATAAGGGGGGCGCAATTTTCCTGAATTTTAGGACCTTTCACTGAAAAAACGCCTTGTTTGTGTATTTCCCTGTCGACACGAAAAAAATATTTGGGGTACCCTTTTTTGCTTCAGGGGGGCGCAAAAAGCTGTACGTACCCGACCTTTTTTTTTTTTTTTTTTTAGGGACACAAAAAATTTTAGGGGGGCACTTTTCGTCACTGAGCGGGGGGGGCGCCAACAGGCAAAGTTACGCCACTGGTTATATTCATAAGTAAATCCCACAAAAACAACTGAGTTTAAAGAAAACTAACTGAAAGGTTACCAACCCAACATGGAACTGAGTTTAAAGAAAACTAACTGAAAGGTTACCAACCCAACATGGAAATTGTTAGCAAATTCGCAGCTGTCCCCATTAAAATCATCAGTACAGGTACACGCATGTTTAGTGAAGTCCGTTCGGTCAGTCATAACACGGCTACATGTTGCATCGTTTTTACAGGGATCTGGGAGGCAGGGGTCTCTGAAATGTAATAAAAATCACAAGTTGCTGTTGCCTGTTTACAAAACTTAAATATAAGACAATACATATTGATAACTTTACGAAGAGTGATTGGAAGTTAGATGAAATAAAATTTTACTAAGACTCGTTATTTCCAACATTCAACATTATCCAGTAACATGAGTATCATTTTTAAAATCACCACCAACTATTAGTCTTAACTTACGAGGTGAATTCAGCACATGTATCTCCTTGTGTTCCCAATGGACAGTCACACTCCAATTCAAGCTCTTTAACAGAACACTTGCCCCCATATGAACAGTAATCATCAGGACAAGTAACCTCCTCACAGACGTTCAAATCATCTTCTTTCTAAAATTATATAGTAAATTGAGTGAAATTGTTGGTTCAAATTTGAAAACAGCAGCCACACCTTCACAGTGTAGTCTGCTTAAAAAGTACCATCCAGTCATTCAGTGTGCTGTGTAGTTTTGTTGCGTTCTGATTATTGAGTTCTCTTATCTCATATCTTATCGCTACAATTCAGCTACAACTTAGCTGCTAGTACTGTGTGAAGTGTGTTTAGTGCTAAACAACTGTCAGTATATTATGGAAAATGTGGACTCTACAATGTGGTTAGGTGGCTATATGGACATATTGTATGCTTCTAATGATCTTAGTCTTTGGGTCGAGGAAGGGATGAAAACAATAATCTATGATGAAGATAGTTATATTACATTAGAGAAGTGCCAGAAACCAAGCACGTACGTTTTAATGAAGAACCTTTTTGATGGTACAATAGAAGCTTTACTTCCTATGAGCGACAAGAAAGATAAATTAATTGAAAAGTGAAATGATTAGTTCTCAACAAATCAGTTATTCCGTTACAAGGGAAACTTTTGGACATGAAGAATAAAGAGCTAAATTCAGTTTAGAGAACTGTTAAAACCGCTGTAGATAACACTGTACAAGCTGAGATTCAGTCCAGTTGGGAAAACTATGTCTGCTAAAAAACAAGAGCTGTCAAAGTGTCATTTGGAAACTCTAGCAGTCTTTATCAGATATTGATCAAAGCTAAAGAACACAAACTGTCTCAGCGATATAAAGCTGTGTTTATTTCACTTTATCGGACTACTAAAGAGCATGCAATACATAAACAGTTGGTTCTTGATTTGAAGAGGAAAGTCAAGGAAGATCGGAATAAACGTTATCTTATCAGAAGTGGCAGAATATGTGAGATGAGTGTGGTATAATCATATGATAATGATAATGATAATATAATGATGAACTGCCCACTGCGAGCTCTTCACTTGTGACGTCACATGCGCGTCTACTAAAACATTCTCGCGCGATACATTTTGATGACGAGTTATTTCCTTCTGTTTGTCACAATTTCGGCCGCGCGCTGCACAACATTACCCGAAACCGCGCATCAAGTTATGAATTAATTCATATCGTTTAATAAATTAAAGATAACAGCTAATGAATAAAATAGTCTAAACGCTTTTCAGGTTCAAATTATACTAAAATTCGAGTAAAATGTTGATTGTTTTGTGTCCCATTGAAAATACTATTTTGAAATTTAAAATTATTGTAACTTTCTCACTGCTGAGCGGTGTTTAGCCTTTTGTTCCGCCATACCTCTATTTTTAATGTTGAATGTGTTTATAATTTTTGACAACTAAAGGCTTACTACCGAGGTCTTTAGGTAATAATTAACAAATACTGAATATCGAAGAGTTTATTTTTTATATTACTTTTCGACCCGCCAATAATCGTTTAAAAAATAAAACTGTTTATATATTATAAGGAATTTTGACCATTATATATTAACGTGGGTCATCGCCATTTTAAAAGTGTTTTAAATTGTAAATTAAAGTTACCTGGTTTAAAATTTTTTTGACATTCAAATGGTTCGATGGATCTCAATTTTAAATGCTTATTTTTCTTTCACATTTCAAGGTTTCAGGCAATTTCGGCAAGTAAATATGAAGAAAAGCCTCACATATAATGCATTTTAATACATTACAATTTTTATAATCAAAATCTTTTTATAATAATATCATAAGAAATCACTAACCATTTCTAAAAATTTTCTCAGTATACATTTAAAAAATTTACAAACAATAGATTTTCGCGCGCAAACATTTAAAGGTATTTTATGGTCGCATTTGGAAATATTTTTACCCAAAAATACTGTTCGATAAAATTTATTAGCATTTTCAGTGAGAAGAAAGTTTTGAATTTAACAAGAGTAGCACATTTTGGTGGTGAAAACACTCTGACAATTGTCGTGTGCAGTGCGCGCGGTAAAGGCATAACAGATCGAGCGCTACCATTAGCATAGCATTTCATTACACAAATGTGAGAAACCATGTTCTAGTTCCGATAACCTTTCTGTTTTGTTCGTAATTTACTTTTGTCTCCCGTAATGTTATTTAAAGTAGCTATCTAACCATGTAATTTAACAGGTCTCATCAATGTTTAATTTGATACAGCAGTTTTTTCATGGGATCTTGTTATCCTAACTATTTTGTTTTCCTACTCGTTTTTTACTTTCTTATTGGTTTTCCGATTTGGAACTGCACAATTGTAAACTGACCACTTAACTCATCATCCAATGGAAGTGTAAACACATTTACCCACTACGGATAATTAATTTATGGTTCAAACATATTTATGGTTTATGCACTATTTAACGTGTCCTAAGGGTACTCATTTTAGATAACAGTCATTTCAGTACCTCCGCCAAAAAAAATTTGTGTTTAATATCTTGCTTGATATAACATGCCTTTTTATCGCTCTACCCTTTATTATTTTCCTGAACTATTAATTCCGAACTATATATTTCAGCTTGTAAAGAGGATGTTATTGCCACGTTAAGGGGCCTGTAATAATTAACTAATTATTAGTGATATTTTAGATTAGACAATAATAATATATTATAACTTTACTATCACCACAAGAAGCTGACATGTTTATAGATCCAGACTATGCTTAGAAAGAGTTGCCAAGATCACCCCCAAAGATCTTCTAATCAAAGATGCTCTCACAGGAATGCAGATGGTTTGTCTAGCGAGACTTAATTTGGATTATAACATATACAAGCTTTTCACATGATTTTGATTGGTACAATTATAGATAAGCGTAAATATAATGACAATCAAATTCAGCTGAAACGAAATGAATGAGAAAGAACGCCCTGTTCACCGAAACAACATTAATGAACTTGTCAACTATGCAGGTAACTGTGCTATTTTTACTATTTATTGACAATCTCTCAATTGAACAAAAAATTCAATTTAACAATTATTTAAATGTCAATTGGGAGTCCTATGACTTAATGCACCTATTTAGAAGGTGAATAAATTATTGTTTGTGGTTTTTGATACAGCCTACTAAAGGAATGTTTTTAAATGACACTAAAATGACGAGTCTGACACTTGACAGTGAAGTGATATGACTAGTAAGTAGAAAGTTTTGCACCAGCAATGTTAACTGCTTTTGTTAGGAAAATCCTCTGCGCTTAGGAAAAACGCTTATCTTTGTCATCAGAACGGTCAGAATCATTGAAGGCAGGACCTTTGCCAGATTCTCGAGTATTAACTAAGCCCACTAAGATTTATATCTGCAACAGGAACAATTCGTGGTTAGAATCTAGATGATTGGTAAATGCTGATATGACATAAAAAAGTTAGTAGCTCTTATGTTGAGTGCGGTGTGGCAGTCACAACAGCTCCATAGTAGCACCTCCAATAGTATATTTGTTTTGACCCTTATATGAACGTAAATAAATGCTTAAACTAAGGCTAACATTCCCATGGATAAGAAATAGAGAGCTTAATTGCTCACAACCATTTTAAATTGCTTAAAATTTAATGGTTGTTAACTTGGATAATTTTGTGCAGTTGAGAAGTTATCCGAAGTTAATTTCGTAAGCTTTAAATTCTCAATTAACCTAAACCTTTAATTTAAATTATCTTAACCGCAGGGTTTTAGAAGAAACAAGACGTAGAAATCTTTCAAGCGGAAGATCAACTATGCTAAAATGAAGCACAAATCCAGTGTGGTGGAAATGGATCGTTTGAAGGAAAAATATCTTATGCCTGGTAATTATTATAATTGATAGCCAATTAAATCGATTTTTAATTCATATATGCACCTTTCTTCGCTTTATCTGAATCTAGATCACTACATCTGGTCTCAGTGGTAAATTACCCTAATGTATTGTCTCAATAACGTTTATAATTTCGGACGAGAAATTTGGGGCAGTTTCTTTGCTTGTACTGATTTTATCGAATTGTAACCACCAGACTTTACAATCATGCCGTATGTACCTTGAAGAACTTATAGAAATCACGTATCTAAAAGAGAATGATGTAGAGGGGGATGATTAGTAGTTAGAAATCGGATCGCTGTAGCGGAAAAAAGCTAACCCTAGGCAAAGAGTGATTATATAACCAAATTCAGACAATTGTCTCGCCCATCTCCTGACATTTAGGGTTCTTAACCTATCACCCATGAACCGTGTGCTCCCTGATTTATTACCGAAAACCCATATTGAAGAAAACACCCGATACTACAACTGCAAAGCACATTTTAATAACTTGAGCACAAAACTTGTTAAAAAGACAACAATTGTTCCCCAATTTGGTATTTTTCCTCACGCGTGCAACCAAAATGACCGATTTTTGTCAATAACTTAACGAATAAGCATTAAAAGCTTATATTGCTTTATAAGTTGTATATAAATATGTGTTTGGGGTCTTTTAAAGGAAAATTTAAGTTTAAATTCCTTTAAGTTCCCAAATTAGGCCTTTTTTGGTTCCGAGGCCAAAAAATAGTTTTTTGAATGTCATAAAATGAAGACGGAGACCTTATGTTGCTTTAAAATTGTGCCCATTATAAAAATGCCCCTTTACCCATCCCAGACGATTTAAAGTCCAAGGAAATAGGCAAAAATACGGCTACAAGGGATGTTTCAAATGGGACAAAATTTTCCCCGAGTAATACCTGACACCAAAAAAGGAAAACTTTCCCCAGAGCCTTTTGAAAATTTTAGACCCACAAATTTTTCGGGGACACTGTGGTATAATATAAACGATCCAATGGGTTTATCCTTTTAGGCGATTTGGAGAATTTCATTTTTTGTTTTTTCGTTCATTTTAAAACCATAGAAATATTTCACGGGAAGCTTAAAATGTTAGGGGGGGGGGAAAGTGGAATTTTGATATTTGGATAAGTCATCCACTTTTTCGTGAATACCCATAAATCCATTGAAAAAATTTACAAATACCTTTTACTACAAAAAGGTTATCTAAAATTGTCCCCAGAAATTCGCTAAAATTTTTGGGATAGATGTAAAATTTGTA